CTTCCTTAATATGCAGATTTGAACCGTTTTGTCGAACCGTAGTTACACGGGATTCGAACCGGAGCTCCTCGCCTCTGAAGTACGTCTCCGTACTCCGTGAGCTACCCATTGATATGAAGCTAGATATGAGCGGTGCTAACGTTCAAAAGCATCAGTTTTCAAATCTCCCAGCATATTAAAATTGTTTTGAAGTCATAACATGATATTCTTCAAGTAATTGTGCGAAAATTATGCTTTATTAATCGAAACTCTGTAAATGTGTGTGAAAAGGAATAAAAGGTGTCGGAGTTTTACTGCCTCTAGTGTTCATTTCTTTTGGAAACTGCAGTGATATGTACTTATTGGTACGTATTTCGCGTCTCGCGAAAATGTGCCCCCGGGTACGTTTTTGCCATGAGACCAGGTTGGCCGTTTTCTAGTGTTAATAAACACTGCATAAATGCAAGAAACTACACCAGAATAAGTAATAGGATTGTAGATTTACCCTATATTAACCTGTCACTCTGTAGGGTCTTGCTAAGTGAAGTTGTACAGAATTTGGCTAATAGTTGTTGATACAAGTTTGATCATTTGCACAAAAACTTTGTCTGATAGTTTTTTTTTATTTATTTATTTTTCTTACAATAACTTTTTTTTTTTTTTGATAATTTGTTTGATCATATTGTCTTCACAAGAACTTTGATCATTTGATCATGTTTTTATCCCAATATATTTGCCTGATCATTTTATTTAATCATTTTGTTTTACAATAACTTAATTTAGTTTGATCATCTTCTCTTTACAACTTGGTCTTGTTTGATACAACATTTGTTTGACAATTTGTTGCTACAAATAACGGCTGGATTATTTTTTGACCATTCCATCTTAAAACAACTTTGATCATTTTGTTTGGCAATTTTCTGTTTACAATAACTTTGTCTAATAATTTTGTTTAATATTTTCTTCTTTACAATACATTTGTCTGATTTTTTTTATTTAATAATTTGTCAGACCATTTGATTTTTTTTTTTTTTGCAATACAATTATTTGATCATTTTGTTTGATCCTTTTGTCTCACAATAACTTGGTCTGATCATTTGACTATTAATTTGTCTTACAATAACTTTGTCTAATCATTTTATTTGATCTCTTGTCTGATCATTGTTTTCTTACAATAACTTTGTCTGACCATTTTGTCTTTCAAAAAGATTGTTTCATTTCCGTGACCATTTTCTCTCCAACCACTTAGATCATTTGTTTGATCATTTGTTTTATTATTCATCTTACAATAACTTTGATACATTTGTTTGATAATTTTGTTTTTACAATAACCTTCTCTGATCATGGTTTCATCATTTTTCCCCATAATAACTTTGTCTAATTATTTTGTTTGATCGTATGTTTTACCATTCATTTGAAAATGTAGTCTCAGTCAAGAAAACCACTGAGGTGGGAATGAGAATACAGACATTTGATGACCTTTAATGTGTCTGATTTTTTTATTTTTTATTTATATTTATTTATTAATTTGTCTTAAAATAACTTTGATCATTTTAATTGATAATTTTTAATTGATCAAAAAAAGTGCCTCAAATACATCAGATATAAAACAAACAAAAAACATGTAACTCAGAATACAGAAATCAATATTATCGAATTATTATACTGACTAAACTCTGAACTCATAACTTAATAGCTTGCTCTGGTATATTAGTTTATCCTTAAAACATATGTACACTATGATCCTGAAAATGTAATTGTAGTCTTATCATAATCTGTCAGCTAAACAAACAGTAGCGAGCAAAGAATACAGGATGTGTTCAATGTGTACATATGGTAAACCATGTTAAATTGAAATTATAATAGAGATACAGTAAAACACTTGTCATTTGCACACTAAAACATGCAAATGTCTAAATTGACCTTTCATTAATATAATCCTGACAAATGATATTTAATATCTGGATAATGACTATGCCGTGCAGTGAATAACAACGCAAAACTAGGGAACAACATGCTTTTTGGGTGAACTGTTGCTTAAGCACAATATTTCATATCAAATTCACAATCTTACTATGACTCCGACTGACTGTGCCGTTCATGGGAGAGTCTCATGTAGCCAGATTCCCTTTCCCTGCACTGCTGAGTGACACAGCATGGAAGTTCACTCTGGAGGGAATGAGGCTCTCTACAAAGAGAGCTTTGAGGAGACGGACAGGGGCAGCTGCTCTCCAGGCACCCTGGCAAGCAAGTCTGCACTCTCTCGTTCCCATCTGCGACTGCTTTTCAGGGGTGGTTCAGCTGATCAAGGGCCGAATTTAAAAGCACAGGATGATGGAAAAGTAATTGCCCTCGCTGTGAAAATAGACCATGCATGTTCTATCACTTATTCATATTGAAAGGGGGAAAATATAGTGCTCTAATATCTATTTTTTTTTACTGTGATTTCTAAGTGCAGAAAGTGAATAATTTGCATTGCTCAAGAGAACTATCGCTTTGCGCGGTGGGGAGGCCACATCCAGCTGTTAGCACTATTGGGATTTGGAGCTTATAATTGCAGTTATCTTTTACACAGACAAAAGCATTTTAAAAGCCGTGTCAAATTCAAGAGTTACAAGCCATTTAAATTCCTGAAACTAATGCGAGTACAATTTTATGCAGTGTGATCTCATGCTTGCCCGTCGATATTCATTCATAGGATGTTTGGATAGACAATAAAACAACATACTGACAAAATTAAAAAAAAAACCTTTTAGACTGTTCAGAAATGATAATGCTGGACCGCCACAGATGCATTGCTCAAGAGAACTATCGCTTTGCGCGGTGGGGAGGCCACATCCAGCTGTTAGCACTATTGGGATTTGGAGCTTATAATTGCAGTTATCTTTTACACAGACAAAAGCATTTTAAAAGCCGTGTCAAATTCAAGAGTTACAAGCCATTTAAATTCCTGAAACTAATGCGAGTACAATTTTATGCAGTGTGATCTCATGCTTGCCCGTCGATATTCATTTTCATTCATAGGATGTTTGGATAGACAATAAAACAACATACTGACAAAATAAAAAAAAAAACTTTTAGACTGTTCAGAAATGATAATGCTGGACCGCCACAGATGACCAAAATCAATACACAACCCCATAGTGGGACTTCAATTTAATAATGGAAGAAAATGACCGTTCGAGCCGTTCGCCACGGGGCCCGGAGCGACCGCACCAGTTGCACCCCCCTAAGGACGGCCCTGGTTACAATAGATATTTGTTGTAACATTATACTATATACTATACTATATTTTCCTATAAGATGTGTGTGTGTGTGTGCCACTAAAACAGTGTTGCATAATTGTGAAGGGTAAAAGGAAGATATCAAATTAAAACATCATCTACTTTGAGTAACTGGGACAAAGCATCTTTGAACATTTAAATCATTTAATGTTTCAAAGCAAATACAGTTTACTTCACTGGGTCAACACATGTGAACAATATATATATATTTTTTTCATATCATTACCGACCTCAGCAGACATACATTCACACGGCTGCATGAAGACAAGATCTTTCTTTATGTTTTTATGATTTTTTGTTTGTTTTGTTGCAGTTATGTACAAAGTCATTGTAATGCATCAGCCCCACATCTCTATACAGAACCCATTAAAATATCAAAACTTATCTACCCAAGTCCATGTCAAAGTAGATTTATGGCAATAAGCTATACATCTCCAGTCGTCTGAGCTGTCTGATTTGTTTTCTAGTTCATTTTGCAGTCAACGTCCAGACTTGAAACTCCTCCATTTCTGTTCCCCTAACATACAGTAAACCCAACTATAGTTTCCAAGGTACATACATTATTTACAGTGGAATGTCAGGCTTTGAAGTGGGCAGTTAGAAAGACATGAGACTCTCGAATGAAAAACTGAAAGAACTTTAAATCTAAAAAACAAGGAATGCATGAAAGAAGGAATAAAAAGCAATATTTTGTCTGTTCAACAATATGCAAAACAAAAAGAAAGTAAAAAAATATATATTATTTTCTTAGTATGCCTATGCACTTATGCATGCTATTTAATGCTGCTAGAAGCATCAACATCAACTGATCCAGCAGACAGACTGCTGTATCTAAAAAACAAAACAAAAAACAGGCTGATATGGGTCATGAAAATTTATTATAGTCAATCAAAATCTCTTATTTGACATTTAAAGCCTTAATAGCATTTGGTAAATGGGTAACTTGTGCTTGGCTTGAGAAAACATACAAAAAAAGAACCCTTAATTAACAAAACCCTGGGAGCACAGGGGTCTGTGAAAAGAATGAAAGAAAGAGCAAGCGATACAGAAATAACTACATATATAATTAACTACTAATTAAACTTCTGGAACAAAAACTTGTGCTTTAGCTAAAGTGATGTCAGTCTCTTTAATCACAACCATGATTAAGTAGCAGGTTTCCAGTTGTGAGCTGGTTAACAAAGTGCTGGCGGAGCAGAGAGAGAATATTTTTATTCATGAGGGTTTCAAAAACTTGGTAAAAACACAGCTTCTATAATACTTAAAGTCCAGGTGATGCACTTTCCACCACACTGGCCAACTTGTGTAGATTCATAATGTTTATCATGCGAATGTTGTAAAAATGTACAGTGAGGGCAGACAAGGCACAATAACTCTAAAAAAAAAAGAATATGAAAAGAAAACAATATGTACAATATGCAGATCTAAAAAAAAATTAAAAAGAGTAAAACCTTACATCTCACACTTCATAGGCACTGCAATTTGTATAATGTTGCACATTGCTAAGCTAAAATACAAGGTTTGCTAAGCAACAAATGTACAGTTATTCATCATGTGGTCTGCTTTAGGTCAAATCAAGATGTGCATGAGGTCTACCATCAAGGTTTTTATTCATATGTAGCTTAGATGTAAGTGTATTATGACTTTCCCTATGAGACAGACCACAAGGAATCTGAGGCTGCACGTTCTAGTTTGTTTATTATGTGGGTTCTTTTAATAATGGCTTCATCTACCAATTGGAGTGTGGAACTCTCAGCTTTAATGCATGTTATCGTTTTTAATTCCCTTCTGCAGATTTTCCCCTCAGAGAAAATGCACAAAAGCCACCAGATTCCACGACGGAGTGAGCAACCTACAGTAAGTGGCGCTCATCTGGAGTTTCCCCATGTTTTCAGGTCCTCCTAGATTGTCCATGTGATTACAGGGGTTCAGCATCCTAATCTCTCGTCTTGTAAAGAGCCCTGTTTAAGGCAGGCAAGGGAATTAAATATTTCATGGACAAGCCATGATAAATTCTACGCAGGGATATGGACGCAGGGAGGTTATTTGTCTCTGGAAGTAAAATCATTTAGTGGAAAACGGCCCACCCATTCACAAACGCTGATGTAAAAAGTGCGAGAAAAGCTGAACCAAACAAGGAGCGATTAAAAAAGACACACATGCATTAAAAAAGGCCTGAATGCTTGTACATTTTGCAGCCGAACAGGTATGTCAGGATTTTGATGAATATCCATTTTGTTTATTTAAATACATACTAATTTGTAGCCACCAAATCTGCTCTTTATAGAGGATCAGGAAGGATTTGGATAGGAATCCTGGCTTTGCGGCAGATCCTGTGGTTTCAGAGATCCAGCAGTACATAGCAAGCCTGTCTGTGATGCCCAGTTGCTGCCATGTTTACCTCTGATTTCATTTTGGCTCGAGACTTTTCCGTAATTTCATTCCCGTGACCCATGCTTTTACCGCTACCTTCTTTTGGAAAAACTACTTCCATCAAAAGGCTCTCAGTGCTGGTTGACACAAGTGCTACACACCTGTGCTTTAATCTCCTGTGGAACTAAACATTACCGTTGAACCGGTTCATATTTACAAGATCTTGAAAACATTTTGACCACTCCACATCACCAACTCTAAATAACAAACACCCTGTCTTTATAACAACACCACATTATATAGGATTATCCTTTTGCGTCTTAAGAGTTTCAGAGGAAATAGATTTTTGGAAAGCATTGTTATGAAAACACTACACATGATGGCACATCCGAGGTGGATCTATGGATGGAGACTGATTGAGACTGGCATGGAGAGTGAGGGGCAGGTGGGTGTGCAGTGTATCTGTCTAGGCACCGTTCTGCATGCTCGACTGCAGTGTTCATATGACTAACGCTGCAGATGTGTCCCTCAGCTCTCAGCAGAGCTAGGTCTTAAAATAAATACTGTTTTTGGAGAGCAGTCAGAACCCACATGCTTTTTTGTTCCATTGGATTGTATGCTTCAAGGCCATGCCACATTTTCGGACCCCTGGATCTACATTCTGGGTCCTTTAGGATGTTGGGAGCGGTGTTTGTACCAAGAACCACAGGATTATGATGTTTCCATTAAACACAATAGTGTTAATGCAACCTTTGACCTCATAACGACACATGTATGGGCAGGAATAATTATTCTACTATTTAGTTCCACATTTTCTGGTAACCAACACTCCATATAAAAAACAAGACTATATAAAACAGACAAAACTATGATTAATGTAAAAGTAATGGTAATATGCTAATGAGATAAAAAAACAAGACAAACAATAAAAAAATAATCATACATCCAGTGTAAGACTTTCACAACATGATCAGCAATATACCCCTTTCCAAAACACTCACAGTCTCTTTTTATACATTTAATACATTTATAATAACAACAAAATGAGACAAAAATGATAATACACTGTAATATGTTCAAGCTACCTGCCTGTCCAGCCTTACTGGATATTGATTGGCATCAGTCACTGAGAAAACCTCTTGCTGTTGTAGCAGGTTCATCTAAAAGCATGTCGATGTGTAATGATGTTGACATGTTGGTGCTTTATCCACAGCTGTTTATTTCGATGGACTCTGATGGGGGCGGAGGTTACTGGGTCAGGGGTGGGATGTGCAGATAGGGATAAACACATGGTGGGAGGGTTCTAGTGATGGAGGTGAATGGGTGTGGTTAGATGAAGGAGAGGGCAAAAGGTTGTTGATCTTTTATCCTTGACGTTGCATGCCACTCTACACATACCACTCCTTCTTTGAAATAACAGAGCCGTCGGTTTGGGAGACCATGTCGTCGGTGATCTCGGGCTCGGGGTCGTACTGGAAGGCAAGGGTCCGTTCATCGTAATCGTGACTTTCGCCTTCGTCTACAGTGAAATAGGGTCTCTTCAGATCCTCAGAGTTGCCGTCGAAATCCCGATCGCCACCCTCGAAACCGCCAGGCCCGCTAATTTGAGCCGGTTTCTTTTCATCGTCCGAGTCGTCGGGGTACTGCATGTTCTTAGGCATCGGAGGATGGGCAGGCATGCCACCGGCCTTGCTGTATCCATTCCCGAACACATGTTTTTTGGTGCTGTAGTCGCCCTTAAAGGTGCGCTGACGACGCCGCAGGAAGAAGACAAGCAGCGCAATGGCGGCCACCAGCAGGGCCACTCCACCGACCGCACCACCGATGGCAGCGCCGGAACTATGCATCTCCTGTGGGATCTCACGGCCATCAAAAGGCGGGGAGTTAGGGAATTCTGGGTAGGAAAACACAGATGGAAGGGGAGAGTGTGTCAGTGCTCTGGTGGGAAGGAGGTGCATTTGTGCAGGTGCTCATTTTTTGATGAGGAAAGGAACATAGGGGAGGAGAAACAAAAGGGAAGAAAGGAAGGAGCCCCCGCCCCATACCCACAACCACCCACCCACTTCCTCCCACAAAACCAATCCATTACGACGGCTTCATATAGAAAAGCAAGAGCTGAATGTTTAGTCACAGCATGCATTTTATGGAACATAAGAACAAGCAGTCAAACCATTTTGTATGCAAACAGAAAGAACAAAAGTCTTGAAATTTAGGGTTCCTGTACACTAGAGCAGGGGCATAATGTTTCTATTTAGTGTGCACTGGGACCAGTTTCTAATACCCACCTAACATGTTGTTTTCTGCACATTGGTTGCATCACATTGCATTGGTTTTGGGTGCAAAAGTTAGAAAAGGACATAATTTTAACCGTGGAAGCTATAAATTCAAAGATTCAATTGGATTAACCAAATTTATGTAATATTACAACCCATTCTCACTCCTAAAGACACCAAAAACTGAAGCAGGGTCAAGCACTTCACTATTATGACTCTAAAGGTATCCCTAGGCCAGGGGTCTCCAACCCTGCTCCTGCAGATTTCAGCTCCAACCCCAATCAAACACACCCGAACCAGCTAAACAAGGTATTCAGGGTTACTTGATAATTACAGGAAGGTGTGTTGGAGCAGGGTTGGAACTGAAGTCTGCAGGATGGTAACTCTCCAGGAGCAGGGTTGGAGATCCCTGCCCTAGGCGTCACTATATCGATGAACTTGGAACTCCATTGCTTTCAATTGCTTGCCTTATAGATTAAGACGGATTTAACATACATGAGATTAAGACGGATTCAACATATATCATAAAGACCAAATTATACCACAATATATAATTAAATGACAATAAATGATTGAGTATATGGTTTCTCAATGGACTTCCTAGTTCAATATAGCAACCGAGGTATACCTTTAGGCCTGGTTTCACAGACAGGGCTTAGGTTAAACCAGGATTATGCCATAGTCCAATTAGGACATTTAAGAATCTTTTGTAAACGTGCCTTTACGAAATGACATTACTGGTGTGCATCTTGAGACAAAACAATGGCACTGACATATTTTAAGATCAGTCAGGGCACGTTTCTTTCAGTTAAAACTGGCCAGACAATGCATTTTAGTCTGGGACTAGACTTAAAGGGTTAGTTCACCCAAAAATGAAAATTAGCCCATAAATTACTCACCCTCAAGTCATCCTAGGTGTATATGACTTTCTTCTTTCAGATGAATCCAGTCGGAGTTATATTAAAAATTGTCTTTGATCTTTCAAGCTGTTTCATGGCACTCAGCGGGTGTTGCATGCATCCGTCCAAAAGCACTTAATTAAAATGCGCCCATCCATAAAAAAAAAGTGTCTCACATGGCTCCGGGGTGTGAACAAAGGCCTTCTGTAGCGAATCGATGCATTTTTGTAAGAAAAATATCCATATTCAAAATGTAATAATCACTTTAATCTAGCTTGCGCTCACTATTGTACACTGGAAGCAGTTCTAGGCGGATGACATATGAGGTCAGCGCTGAGCATGCGCCGGTAAGTCTCGTGAAAACCAACGTTTGTTAACAGGAGCAAAGGAAGCAAAGTTTCCTTACCTTAGGAAAGGAAAACCAGTCTCCTCTTGTATCAACCTTTAAGCCTTTTCTGTGAAACCGGGGTTTAGTGTCCTAGTAGTGACGCTAAAGAATGGGAATGAGTATGAGTTGAATATTAATAGGTGATTTATGGACCCGCCACTTAAGTTTCAGTGGTGTTGTAGTAAATGTTAAAACTTTTGGTTGCTTTACTTTTGGAAACTTTTCGGAAACCTCATTGAAATCAATTGATTCAAAGCATTCTCTGACGAAGCGTAAACTCTAGTGCATAGGCGCCCTTGATCATTTAAGTTATTAACTGCAGCACTTGAATCTGTCTGGAGGTAAAGTGTGCATTAAAATTAACAATCAGCACCAATACACTTATAACAGACCAGACAGCTCATTAAATCTGAGCGACCTCAAAAATTATGATTCAACTTAAGTACAGGTGGCTTGCATTTGAAGCTCTAGACCTTGTTGGCGTATATGGAATACATTTTTTTAAAGCACACACTTATATTCTCTTAAACCATTCATAAAATACATGTCTTTCTTTTTACTCAATGAATTAAAGAACAGATAAAGCTGCAGGTGAAAGGCAAACCGAGCACTGCTGCTTTCAAAAGTTCATAGAGGCTTTCAGATGAGTGATGTGGTTTTTACAATCATGCTGGAACATGAATCCCCTGCAAGTCTACTGTACATGGTTACAGCTGACACACTGCTTGTGGTTTTGTTTTCAAAGCACACAAAAGACATGCATCCAACAGAAAACAAGCGACACAGCATGTAATAAGCCCATGCAAAAAGTCAGTAAACCATTTCTTAAAAGCACCCACAGCATTGAGATTTGCAAACAGCAATTAGAGTTGAAGAAGTAATTCACACACGCTCGCACACACACACACACACAAATGCAAGACATGCAACTTTTTTCAGCATTGGATCATTCACAATTGCTGGATTAACAGCTTGCATGCGGTTTCTAAAGACTTTTCTTTGTGAGGCGCTCCTTGTAAACATAACCAAACTGCTCCAAGCACTACAACAGGTCAGTGCAAAAATCTACCAACACTCAAATATAAAACATAACCAAGGGATTCAAAAACACTTAACTCTAAATTAGGTACAATGCGACAGAGCAACAAACTGTGTCTTACAATACATTTTATTGGTTGTCACATTCAAAATCCCACCCCAAATCAGAATGTTTGATTGGCTCTGACTGTCACAATGTATGAAACAAAGACATCCAACAATGTCTTGTAGGAGCTCCTCCAAACAGTCTAGAAATGTGTCCTTCACACGTTGTGTTAACACAACAGTTGTGCGTAGTTACAGCACAATACAACTTGTGACAACAACGAAACAGTAGACGCTAGACACCCTGCATTATATTTCCAGTCTGAAGTCTATGCCATTTACATGTGCTAATAGAATATGCCGGTTAAAAAGGTCAGCGGCTGCATTGTGAAGGTTTCTGACTGCCTTATGCGACAGTGACTTATTGAATATAGGCCGTAATAAGGCGGTCAGGGTGAGCTACATTTGACATATTCCAGCTACTTAATGAGCTTCCATTCTAGACCTGGCAGAGCAATGTCTGGTACCCACCACACACGCGGTGATGGTCAGATATTTCTCATTGACACACTCAGACAGCTTGTAAAGGATTACGGTCATAAAAGGCAAAAACCTCTAGGGGTTCAATCCATCTTGTCCTTTAATCTAAGAATATAAAGTTAAATGCTAATAGGGAAGGGAAAATGCATAGCATACTTTCAGAAGATACACAAAGTGCACAAATGAAAACTTTTCTAGCTATACAAACTGACTGTATTGTTGTATTGAAATATGTGCAATTCATAACACAATGCTAATAATACGATTATACTCTGAAAAAAATATATTGGAGTACATTTTACATGAAAATGCTATTTCAGTCGTTTTACTTCATTTCATATTTAATTCAATGTGTTACTTGCCATGACTGCAATTTACTAGCAGTTTCTGAGAGAAAATTGTTTCTACACCAATTTCTTTGCTGCAAATGGTGCTATAGTTTTAGCATAACTATTCTGCTTCTATTGTCAGTTGACAGCCGTGGGAAGAAAGTTAAAGTCAGTAAACTCTTGAAATGTTTATACCTAGCCATATAGCAATGCATTAGTTTAAAGGCACTGTGATTTTAAGATAACTCTATCGCCCCCTAGAGTGTGGAGGATTGTTACCACCACAGAACCTCTGGCCAACATGAACCAATGATTTTGCTACTTTTGTAATTTGCCATTATGACAATAGGAAGAAAAAAAAACACGTGGTTTTCTGGTCTTAGCTGGAATAGGCTGGTTTTGCAAGGCCCTTTACATATTTACTGTTGTAGTTCATTTTTGAATTTTTGTGTGTAGCTTAATTAACCACCTATCTCAGCCAGGACACTCCTGTAAAGGACATTTTTAATCTCAAGGTTTCTTTCCTGGTTAAATAAAGGTCTAACAATATAATGGGCTTTTAAACAATTTCATTTCCTGTTTTAACTCAATTAAACCATTATTTCAAATTCTCAAACACCTCTCATTAATGTTAATGCCAAATGTTAAGGCTAACAGGCTGCTGGTTCTCATATTGGGGGGGTCAAGGGAACAATTTGACTTCTGAAGTCTTTCTCTCAAATGTAATTACTGTGACAATCCACTGCTAAAGCCATTCAACCACAGGAACCCATCTATGTATACTCTACCTCCCTCTCTCTGTTTCTCTTTCCGCTGCTATTTCTATTCTAGGTTTAGTCAGAGAGTGTCCACACTGTGGTTTGGCCACCGGTGGTGCGACCACTCTCTCAGCTATCAGCTCTCAAGTTTTAATCTGGCCTTTAATGGGATTAGATGAACTGGAGGCTTCATTATACTGAGAGAGATAAATCCACAGGACTGGAAGAGTTGAACGGACCAGTCTTCTTCCTCTAATTCATTCCTTTTTCCTTCAGTGCACCTTTCTGTCAGTATCTCCTCAGCTCTCGCTCCATCACTCTAATTGGTAAACTCGTTTTGTGCCCCT